AAGAAGAAGAAGAAGAAGAAGAAGAAGAAGAAGAAGAAGAAGAAGAAGAAGAAGAAGAAGAAGAAGAAGAAGAAGAAGAAGAAGAAGAAGAAGACACCATGCTCAGGTACCTGGGCATGTGGCTCTGCTAGAAGGCTCACGACAAAGCAGATGCCAGGAGCAGGCTGCCTCCAGGAAGCCATAGAAATGCCTCTGCCAAGAGTGTCTCCAGCTCCGTGCCCTAACTTAGTGCCCCTTCCATTACCACAGCTGCTCTTAAGAAACACGGCTCATATCAGTTGTTTACACTCTAGCAAGAATTTCGTTGTGTCAGCCCTCTCACAGGGACATTTGAAGCCAGCTCTGCAGCTGCTAAATGAAAGCATTTGTCTCCAAATAAAGCAATTTCAAATATCACCAACAGGGAAGGAGATGTCCGTGAGCTCAGCACGGCCATCCCCAATGCCCAAAACTCCCTAGAGCCCTCCTGCTGGAACTTCATCCATGATAAAATTCTGCACGAATACGAAGTGTTAGTCATCTCCGATCTACCCACACAGGATGAAACCTTTGATCCACCTAACTCTGCATACTGAGTTCTTTAGAATTTAAATTCCCTGGCGGGGGAAAGCGGGCCTCTAGATTGCCAGCTTCTTTGTGTTACACAAGGTGCATGGTAATGGCTCCAGCCCAAGGTGAATGAGGTCAGGAGCACATATGTGGTCTAAGGCACATGTCCCACTGCCACCAGGACCCAGAGCCCTGCAGGGGTCTGATGCAGGCTGCAGAGCCTCTCTTGTCCTGGTCTTCAGAGTCCATGGGGCCTCCCTTCAAGAATTCCTGCACCCCCACCCCATGGCCCTTAGAAAATAACTACTTCCGGGGTGCCTCCACACAGGACCCTGCCTGCCAGGGCACACGTGTATGTCCCCTTACAAAAGTCACATTCTCTTTGTGTCAAGTATTTCAGGAATCCAAGGCCGAGGATGGGCTAATAAGAGGAGAGGTAAGTAGGAGATAGCGGAATATGATGTCTAGGGGAAAGGGGAAAACAGAGGGGACAGAGTGATGAGAGAAAAGCAGGCACTGGGGTGCCCCTGGGTCTTACCCGGTGGGCACGCAGCCTCTAAGGAATAGGCAGAGTGGCTGCTCACCAGCCAGAGGGGCCGGAGCTCCACAGAGTGGTTCAGCGCCTGGGGAGGCAGAAGGGTCCCCTGCGACCACTAAAAATCTCCCTCCGTGGGCCCCCCATCCTTCTAACTAGTCTCTGGACCAAACCTGCCAATGTTGCGGGGCCCAGGTCAGGGTCGATCACTCCAGTGCAACCAGGAAATATTATTTAGCTGGGATATTTTTAGCAGGAAGTGAGCTGGGAGCAAATGTCATGTGAGTCGTCTTCTCTTACACGGCAACTTTGGGCTATTTAAAGAGATGGTAATTACGCTCCTGCCACCACGATCGGGACTCGCTGAATACATGATTGCAGGAGCCCCTCATCTGCCGAGCGGAGCACTTTACGTTAATGGGGCCCAATTTTCAAGGCTGCTGCCTAAATCTGTCCAGTGCCACAGGTGGACATTTGAATTGGCACCGGAGGGGTTGCACAGTGCTCACTGGGGTGCCATGCTGCAGAGCCCCCGCCCCAGCCTGGCGGGGCCCGCAGCCCCCTACTGACCTTCTGCCTCTGAAGAAGGTCTTGTCTTGGGCTTTGGATGGTGACCATGATGGCACTGATGTCCACATACAATCCCATCAGACTGGCATCCCCCAGAGAGGCCACCAACTCCCCTCGAAGGGACAGCGGCCAGGGGCTCTGGAGAAGCAAGACACATGTAGAAACCACCTGGAGAGGGGGGCACTGTTACCAGGAGTCACAGAGAATGGAGACTTGGGGGACAGCCAGGCAGGTGACAAGGTCATCAAGAGCCACTCAGGGAGCCCTGCAAACTGTACCCTGACTCCCTTGTGAGAGGAGCAGGCTTCTCCGGAGGTGCTGGGCACACAGCAGGTGCCTCTGCACCCCTGCCAGGAATGCCAGCCACTTAGCTATGTGTCCTTGGTTCTGGTCACCATCCTCTAATGGGACAATGGCAATCAGGGCTTTGAATGAAGGTGGTAGTAATGATGTGAGAGGCACAGGGAGGGGCCCCGACCCCCATCCTAGGACTGGCAGGCAGTGCTTGGGAGGCTGGGAAGTGGAGGAGCAGCCCAGCTCCTCCCAGAGGCTGGGGAACACCAAGGACAGAAGGAAGGTGTGATGACAACTGTGAAAGATGGCAGGTGGCTTGCAAAGGAAGCACTCCTGCCACCAGAGAGAGCCTCAGCATGGAAAGACTCCAGAGGCTTCCAGCCCAGTCCCCTCTCCAGGCTAGGTCCCCTCCTCAGCAATCCTCTCAGGTGTCCTCAGGCACTACCTGGAGGCCACCAATGGAAGCTTCTGAGATCTGCTGCCAAGACCCAGGCCCAAGCCAGGTGTGGTGGCACACACCTGAAACTCCAGTACTCAGGAAGCTGAGGCAGGAGGATCATTGCAAGTTCAAGACCAGCCTGGGATACAAAATGAGCTGAAGGCCAGCTTGAACTGCATAGTGAAACCTGTCTCAAAAAAAAACCCAGGCCCAGAAGAGTTGGCACTCCCCACATGAGGTCAGTGGAACCAAAATCTCCTGCCACATGGCATCCCCAAGTGCTGGGCAGACAGAACCTTCCAGAAGGTTGCTGCTGCCACACCTACCTGTCTATTGTCACTCCTCAGGGGCAGAGGCCGGGAGACCTGCAGAACAGAGGGCAAAACACATCTCCTGGCACACAGTGGGCAAAGGTGAGCAGGCACATATTTGTGCCAAGCACACAAGCACTGGCAGTTAACCCAGCAGGCGGCTGGCGAAAGATCCAGGCAGCTGAGGTACTTCCTCATTAAGACAAGAAAATCATTTATGCTCTGGGACTCGAGTGTCAACAGACCTGGGGCAATGTCGCCACCTCAGCTGCTGCCCTGGGCTGGGCCAAGGGGGCAGCTGGGGCACCGGGCACAGCTGGTGAAGCCAAGGGTGGGTGTACACGGCACAGAAGGAGGCCAGCACTCAGAACGAGGTCCCCAGGCCTCCCTGTGGGCCTCACGCCTCATCCTGTCCCGAGTTCACCCATTTTTTTCTTCACCCTTTTCCTTTCCGTGGGATCCAATAGCAGAGGCAGAGAAAGCTCACTGTTCAAAGGCCAGAGAGCATGTCTGTGACCCTCCAGGGCGCCAGACTTAGGGTGACCACCATGCTGGACTCCCCAGGATCGAGTCCCTGGTGGATCTGCAGTGCTGAGCCCAGAACTGTCCCAGTCTCATCAGGACTCAGGTGACCCCACTGTGCCGTCTCTGCCCAGCCTGCATGCGGGCAGCCTGGCCCACCCCTAGCTCTCCTCCTGACTTCCACTCTCTCCACTCCTCACCCCCAATTGCTTTTGCTGCAGACCTGGGCTGGAAGGGGAAGCTGAGGTAGGGGATAGAGTCCCAGAGGAAGTACCCGGTCACTCAGCCTTCCTAGAGCTTCAGCTCTCCTGTCCCCTAACCCCAAAGAACCCCCACCCATTTCCAGGCTCAGGACAACTTCAGAAAGCCCTGTAACATCCTCATCCCTAGAAGCCACCCTTCCCAGGGGGAAGAAAAGGTGCCTAATGAGAGTGTAGGAGGGCTCAGTATTACTGGGGTGCATCCCACCCCCAGGCCACAGTTGCAGGAAGCCAGTGGGGCCCTGGAGCTGGACTTTGGGAAGGAGGGCAAGGCTTCTGCTAAAAGAAAGATGGGGAGAGGCGACCAGGTGCCCTTTCAGCCCCCACACAGCTATATTTAGGGCCCGTGGACATTGGCAGGACCTGGGCAGCCTTCGCTGGGAGAGTGCTAATCACTGTGTCGAGTTTACGGGTGCCAGGGGCACACTTAACCCAGGGCAATGAATAGTTATTGCTCAGCCTCCCGCTCGGGGCCTGTGGGCACACTTAAGCGAGCTGGCGGATCGCTGTGAGCGGGGCACGGCTCGGGTACACCCTTGGGCACCCTGCACCATCGGCAGGCAGAGTATTAAATATCTATGTGCCCTGTGCCCACAGCTGCATTTAGCCAAGGGCAAGGCCGGTGAAACAGCTTTAATTAAAACTTAATGCAAGTTCAAGGTGCAGCCACGGAAGCAGGAGCTGCAGAAGTCACCAGGAATGAATCAGTCAATTGGATGAGGGTCTCTGAAGGGGGAGGCGGGTGGCAGGGAGGCGGGGACGGTGAGACCCCCCCTCCCCCCGTCTTCTGTGCTGCCCGCTTCCCTGCGACTGTTCAGGGAGCCCCGGAGGCTCCTACACCTCGACTTGGGGAGGACAGTGCAGATTAGGGTTCCCAAAAGGCAGCTGGACAGCGACAAAGCAGCTGCCTGGTCGGAAGCGGCTTTGCTGTTCTCTGCGATTCCACCAGGCGCGATTCCGCCAGGCGTCCGGACACCGGCAGCGCTGGCCCCCTAGCGGTAGCTCTCAGAATTATACGCGCGCTGCGGCGGGTCAGTGACCAGCCTGGGAACTCGCACAGATGTCCCAGACAGAGGCAATCCTTGAGGATCAGTGACTTTAAATACGCAGGTGGGTAGAGAGGGACCCTCGGCCTCAACCCCTGCTCCTGCAGTCTGCGAAATAGAGAACCCCACCCCAGTGTCTACCGTGGGAACAATCTGGCTGCGGGGGGGACTGTTCCAGCCACAGCACAAGCCTTGAAAAATCTAGGCCTGACTGAGAGAATGAAATGACATGCTCTTCCGGAGACAAGGGCCTCTGTTGTATTCAAATCTGTTCCTTTAGCGCCACCCTGACTGCTGCATACAGCAGGTGCTACATAAATGCTGGTCAAGTGATTGATCTCCTTTCCATTTTTCCTTTCCTCCTTCCTTTCTTGAGCCCTCAGGTCAAAACATCACCTTCAGAATTGAAGGAGGCTTTATCTTTTTCAGTGCTGGGGGTCCAACCCACAGCCTTATACCTGCTCAGTAAGTGCTTTTTTACACTGATCCACTCGCCCAGCCTGAAGTCCACCTTTACAAATGAGAAGATTTCATGTATAACTATAGATGTCCTGTTTCTTTCTCTTTTTCTTTTCCTTTAAGACTGAGCAACATCTCTTGGCCTTATTTATTTATTATTCGCTTATTTCTTTATTTTTATTTTAAGGCAGGATTTCCCTACGTCTCTAAGTGACCCAGCCTAGGCCTGAACTTTTGATCCTCCTGCCTCAGCCTCAGCCTGCCAGAGTGCTAGGATTACAATCATGCCCAACACCACGTCCAGCTTCCTGTCTCTCTTGAAAAGCTGGTAACTCTGGTATCGTGGGGCAGAAGCTGAGTGGCCCTACTCTTTGTAGGACCAAGGTTAGAGGTTGCAGCTGCCCCGGCTTTGCCACTTAACGGCTGCAGACCTTGGGCCAACCTCATCTCCACTTGCTTCTCTGCCTGCAGAGTGGGGATAGAAAGACCTACCACCTTGGCTTGCTTCAAAGGGAGTGAGTTAGTATTTACAAAGTGCCACAAGCTCACCCAGCACAGGGTGGGGGCGCCTGTGTAGTGTTATCTGAACATCGAAGACCCGAGTTAAATTCCTTACTACCGCCTCACCCTGGCACACTCATTTCTGCTGTGTGCATGGCCCTTGAAGACACTGAGATTCGCCACTCCCCTGCCCTCAGGTCTCCTGGGGGCTGGAGAGAAAGTTGACTTCAGGGAACCCGCCAGGAAAGGAAAGAACTCAGAGCTGGCGCTTGGGATGGGTCCCTGTGCCCTGGTCTTTCAAGCAGGGCCTTTACACTGGCATTAGAACGCCCCCTCTCCTCTCTAGCCCTCCACCCTCCAGCACACTCGCAAGTGCACCACCCTGAGCCATACTCCTGGACCTGGGTGAATCATTTTTTGACCCAGGTCAGAAAAAGGCATCCAAACCAGCAATCCCTGGCCATCCTGAAGGCCATGGCCAGAGACACCATTGTGCTTGTGATCGTCCAGGCAGCTCCCCAGGACTAGCTATACGGAAAACTGAGAAAACCAGTTCAAAGAACCAGGCACGCTCCTGCCACCTCATTGCTGAACAGAAGCTTGTGGAATTCATCACCCAGCCAGCACCCACCAATGTCTGCACCTCCAGCTGGCCCTCTGCCCTGCCACATCCTAAGACTCAGGAGCCATGGCCACACACATGGGCCTTTGGAGAGCAGCCCATCCCAGATGCCCTCTGAGCCTGTTACCCGGATGAATGTGGGGCCGCAGTAGATGCTCTGTCGGCCCAGCTTGGACCTGGCCGCCGGACACTTCATGATGAAGCCTTTGCCCCACTGCAGCCTTTTCACCCCTTTGTGAAGTATTCTGATTTCCAACCTGTAATTTTCTTTCTGCCAATGAAGCAAAAGTCATTTGTGCAAATGAAAGAAGGAAACAGCTAATGGGCTGCAATTATAGGTCAGGGACCGTTCGCGGCAATATGGTCACCATGCGCCCTGGAAGTGAGGCCATGAGACTGAGACAGCGAGACCAAGCTGGGCAGGGAGGAGGAGCCTGGTCAGTCGCCCTCAGGGAAGCCCTTGGGGCTTGGGGACAGTTGAGGGTCTCAGGAAGGTCCCCCTTGTACTTCCACATCCCTCAACGTTGACAAGCACTGGCTCAGGGGCCAGGGAGATGGCTCAGTAGAATAAGCGCTTGCCTGGCAAGCGCAAGGGCCTGAGTTCAATCCCTGGTTCTGCAAAAAAAAGAAAAAGAAAACACTGGCTCAGAGCCTGTCTCCTTTGACCCTCACAAATGACTCAGAAGGGATTCTCTGACTCCCATTTGACAGTTGAGGCTTGGCAGAAGTGACTAAGTAAAAGGCAGGTGTTCGTTCAGAGTCTGGACACAGAGCCCACGTGGCTCGTCCTGGTGTTCTCTCTGCACAAAGTGCAGCTTCCCAGATGGTAAGCCAAGGGGTCCCCTGGTGCACATGTGGGTTCCAGCCACAGGAAAGCCAGGTAGGAACTCTGTGGGCACCACAGGAGGCTCTGGGTTCCAGCCCCAGCACCAAAAGGAAAAGTGCGGAAAGGACACACCTCCTTTCTGCATAGAGCAGGTTCGGAAAATGAAGCTGCTGTTGGGTGCAGGATGCAGGAAATGGCCACAGCGAGCAGGAAGAGGGTCCAGGTGGCCAGGGGCCCTCAATGTACCTGACGTAGAAAAGGGGCAGGCCTGAGGTGGACCGGCTGAGGCTGCATCCTTCTCCAGGTCCCCCACAGGTTCCTCTTCTTTCTGACCTCCTCTCCCCTTCCTCCAAACCTCCCTCCCTTTGTTCCTGTCTGCTGTGCCCAAAACATCCCAGGCCCATTGCTGCCTCGGGGCCTTTGCACTGGCTACAGCTGCTACCTGACTAACAAGCTCTCTACCACAGAGCTACCTCTCAATCCTCTACTTTGGGGGCCTACCCCTTAGCTCAGTTCTTTAAGTGGCTGCTTCAACAAAGTAGTCAGGCTCAGGTTGCTGTGGCTCAATCCCTACAACTTAAACCAGCCAAACCTCCCCTGAAGGCATTCGGAGAAAAAAAAAAAAACTTCAATCCTCTACTTTTATTCTACTTTGCAATAGTCTGGCTACATTGCCTGGGCTGACCACCTGCCTCAACTCTGGAGTAGCTGGGATTACAGGCATGCACCACCATGCCCGATTCTGGTACTAGCAAGTTGCGTCCAGCACAGCATGCAGGGCCCAGGATCAAACTCTTTGTGCTTGCCTGACAGGTGTTTATTCCTCTGAGCTATCTACCCCGACCACCTTCTTATCCCTGGCTCTTATACACCCTCACCTCCCATCTAAGTGACTTCAGATTACCACAATCATTCCTTCCCCTCCTCTGCACCATCAGCTCCTTTGTTTTGTTCCCACTATAACCTAGTACCTTAAGCTGAGTCTGGCCCATGGAGGGCTCTCAGGAAATACTTGTTGGACAAGAGAAATATAAAAAAGGATATCAATGAGAAGAAGGATTATGGGCAGTTTTTATTATCTTCTTTGGATTTCCTCTGGTTTCCATAATTATCTTGTAGTACTTCTGTCATGGTTTTGTACAAAGCCATTTTTCTTTTCAAAACCACAGTTTCATTTTTCAATCCTCAACCGAGTCATGGACAGGAGGTGAATACACCGCTGCAGATGCCAGCCGGGGCGGCCCGTGGAGGGGGGGGGGGGGACTCTCGAGTGACAGCTTCCCTCTCTGAGGCACTGCTTGCGCCCGCTATCTTTAGCAAGAGATCAAGGCTGCGCCTCGCGGAGGGGCGGCTCTGAAAGGGAGCTCGCTGGGGAAATAAAGTGTTTTCAGCCTGGAGGTGCAAATTGACCTGGATCGTTTTAGTTTTGCATCCACGTTTGCACTTTGTAAATATTTGCCTGGCTTCCTGCTGCTCACACCTGCTTGCTGTCCCTTCGAGTTTATGGCAGGCAGCAGGCACCGTCATTTCTCCATCCCCACCTGGTGCCACTGCTGCGGTGAACTAAAAATGCCCTCCAAAGCCACAGGTGTCACTGACAGCGCCTAAAACTAATGGCCTGTGGCTGGCCGCTGTGACTAATTCTCTGATTATTGACTTTATGATTTTACGCTTAAAACTTCTTGATAATAACACACAGAAATGTTTAATGGGCTCTATCCAGAGTCATAAAAATTACTTATTGAACAAGCGTTTTAAAACTATTAATCTATTGTTTTCCATTAATAATGGCTCTCCAAAGAACAGGCGACAGCTTAATGTATCTTCACCATTTCTCCTGGAAAAAGGGCCTTTTAATACACAAATGCCATGGGCTGGAGAGATGGCTCAGTGGTCTAAAGCACCTACTTGGAACAAGCTTGGCAAAGCACAGGAACCGCGGTTCAATCCCCCAGCACCACATGCCAGCCAGCCCCGCCCCCTGGTGGGCTGAGCTGCCCCCCCCACACACACACACAATAAATGTTAAAATTAAAATAAAAAAAAATTTAAAAAAAAAATACACAAATGCCATGCCAAGGTGTCATGGGCTAGCTAGCTGGCCGGTATTCACTCTGAGGCAGGAAGCAGGAGGAGTTACCTCGAGTTCAAGGCCAACCTGGCCTGTGTAGTAAGTTCAAAGCCAGCCAGAGCTACAAAGCAAGAATCTGTCTTAAAACAAACAAATAAACAATCCAGGATGAACAGGGTCTTTGGGTAGTTTTTTCTCGACTTTGGGAGAAATGGGCAAGTCCATCTTCCCAACTTCTCTCTTCTTGCGCACAGAATAGGAGAAATCCTGAGAATTACCTTGCAGCCCTTAAGATGGAAAGCAGGAAGTGAACTAGTGGCGCATCTCACTATTCTTGGTCCTCCCAGAAGTTTCCAGAAGGTCCTGGATAATCTCCTCATGGTATCTACCCTCTTTCCACTCTTCCTGTTAGCAAACTCATGGCTGAGGGTGTCAGAAAGTAACACTAGGCTGTTGGTGAGGTGAGCGCTTCTTGCCAGGTTTCAGCCATTTTTTCATGCAGCAAATGTTTGACACGATGTCCTAAACATTGGCAGTGTCCCCAGATAAACCAGCTAGAAACAAGGAACACATGGGCTGCACCTGCTCCCAGCTCCTTCCAATGGTGGGGGCGCAGGCGACAAGTGTGTGGCCAAAGAGATGAGACTGTGCCTGCTATGTAAACAGAGATGAGCAGATCTGAGAGACAGAAAGAGCCCCACCGAGAGGTAGCGGAGGAGGACCTGGGTGTGGAGAGGCAACACCAAGGGCCTGGGGCAGACGCACGCAATGGCTGTCTCTTACCTGGCAGATGCAGGATTTTCCCCAGCCACCGCCTCAAACCCTCCGCATGGCTCCTCGGGATCGGCAGAGTCATGTAGTCTGAGCAGCACTCCACCTTGTCTGCTGGACAAGAAGGTATTTCTAAAACGGGCATGACGGCACACACCTGTAATCCTAACACTGAGGAGGCTGAAGCAGGAGGATCATTTTGAGTTTATGACCATCTCAGCTACATAGTCCAAGGCCAGCCTAAATTATAGAGTGAGAACTTACGTAAAAAATAAATAAATAAATAAATAAATAAATAAATAAATCTGGGAAGGGAGGGAGGAGAGAGGGGAAGGCAAGTGGATTTCTTCTCAGCTCTGATTCTGTGGAGCTGGTAGCGAAGGGCAGTAGGTGTCACCATAATAACCAACAACATCTTTTGCCTCTTTGAGGTCACAGGGGCCTTGGAGATGGCTCAGTAGAATAAGCGCTTACCTGGCAAGCTCAAGGGCCTGAGTTCAGTCCCTGGTTTCGCAAAAAAAAAAAAAAAAAAAGTCACAGAGGGTCCAGGAGGAAGAACCTTAGGGCGAGGCACCCAGATTTCAATGTGCCCATAGCTCACCTGGTGCCTGTAGAACGCAGGTTCACCAGGTCCAGATCAGACTTGAGTGCAACAATTGTAATAGCCTATGTAACGTCAGTCCTGCTGCTCTGGGTAGCAAGGCCCCAGAGAGCACAGATCTGACCACTGTGTTTTACAGGGGACACAGGGACGAAGGGGACATGATGGTCAGAGTGTGGATGCTGAAGCAGAACACCTGGGGCTGAGTCCTACCTCTGTTCGGTGTGTGTGCACAGGCGTGTGTGTGTGTATGTGTGTGCATGTGTGCCTGTTGCTCACCTTTCTTCTTGTGCCGTTCTTACATCAGGATGATGCTGGAGGCAGTGGAGATGGAGATGATGCTGGTGATCATGGTGATGTTTCTAATGATGGTGATGATGGTGCTGACGATGGCTATGGTGGTCACGGTGGTGAAGATGGTGGTGGTGATGAGGGTTGGTGATGATGGTGGTAACTCTGATGGTGGAAGTCACAATGGTGGTAGTCACAGTAACGTTGATTCCAATGATGGTACGGGGAAGTGATGGCACGAAGGTGATGGAGGTGATGGTGATGGTGGTGATGAAGATGGAGATGGTGATGTTGGTGATGATAACGGTGATGGGAGTGATGGTGATGGTGGTGGTAGCCATGATATTGGTGATGAGGGTAGTGATGGTGTTGATGGTGATGGTGATGGTGGTGATGCAGATGGAGATGGTGATGTTGGTGATGATAACGGTGATGGGAGTGGTGGTGATGATGGTGGTAGTCATGGTGACGGTGATAGTAACGGTGGTGATGGGGGGGACCTGACATTGATGATGGTGGTGGTCAGGATGGTGATGTTGACCCTTCACACAATGACATGGAGCCTGAATGAGTTCCTGTGTCTAAAGGTCTTCCCAGGTGCTCACACCTAAAGATGCTAGGTGGTGATAGCTAACATTCCATAGCAATGAAAGGACCTATCATGGCCACAGAGTAGCAGGACCAGGGCCATAAATTCTCCATCATCACTTACCATCTCATCAAAGAACCAAGTAAATCAGAACATCAGAGAAACCGAGTACATGTCCCAGTTCATGCGACCCCAAATCAGTACACACTTGATTCCACACTCTGCTGTTCCTTGAGGTCATCATGCCATGGTCGGGACACGGCACTCAGTACAATTTTCTTTGAAAGGAGAGTGAGACTAAGTCTTGTTTATAGCTCAGACTGGCATTGAACTCACTCTGCAGCCCAGTCTGGCCTCAAACTCATGGCAATCCTCCTGTTTCAGCCTCCTGAGTGCTGGGGTTACAGGCATACGCCACCACCACCAAGCTATCCAGTGTAGTTTAAAAGGTCTCAACGGACTCCAAGTCAGTTACTTGACTCATACAAGTGGGTGAAGTGCATGGCTCCTCCTCACAGCCCGACAGCTGAGTCTAAGGCTCCAGCCCAGGGTGGAGATGCCCAGCCCTGGCCCTGCAGGCCCCAGTCCACTATCAACACATGGGGATATTAAAATGGAAATGACGGCCTGGCAGCTGCTTCTCAAAGCCTTGAGTGACTCCCTGTGCCTTAGCCAAGTCCACACAGCCCTCCCCATGACTCCATCCTCTTCATTTCAGTCAAGGGGTCTTTCCTAAGTCACGGCCTCTGCACACACTGTTCCTTCCATCTTCCTGAAACACCATTCCTGATGGGGGGACCTGCACATGGAGGTGGATGCTCAGGGCTCAGATCCAAGGTACAGCCATGTGACCAGGGTGAGTCCTCTCACCTCTTTCAAGAGGCCCCCACTTTCTCTTCTGCAAAATAGACCCTTTTACCCTTACCAGTGTGAAGGACATGGTAACCCATGCAATGCTCCACCAGTACAAATACCTCTATTTACCTAGGGAAGTGGGCTGTGCCAATCGTCGGGTCAGCATCATGATTTAGGCAGGGGGTCTTGGACTCAGGCCTCACCTCTGTGCTGCAGGTGCCCAGCCACGCCTAACCCAAACACTGATGCTCAGGGAGCTCTGTACCATCTCTGTGTACATCAACCCTACCCACGCACTGTCACTGTGGCAGGGCCACCAGCAGTTGGCCCTGGGCCCTGCCCTACACGTACTTCCCTTAGTGATTTTCATCTGTAGCCTTCCATTGTAACAAACCCTAACCATGAGCACAGCACCTTTTCTGAGGCCTGTGAATCCTTCCAGTGAATTGGTAAACCTGAGCAGCCAGGCGCACACCCGTAATCCTCCATTCTCTAGGAGGCTGAGGCAGGAGGATGGCAAGTTGGAGCCCAGCCTGGGCATCTTACTGCGTGATTTAGTCTCACTAAGGGCTGCACTTGCAGCTCAGGACAAAGGTCCTGAGTTCAGTCCTGAGGCCACAAACAACAACAAAACCACCAAGGGGGTCCTGGGGACCCTTGAACTTGAAGTTGGTGTGAGAAGGGAAGGCGACCGTAGGAATCCCTGAACCTCGAGGCTTTTGAGGATGTGTGGAAAAGCTTCACCACGGGGCAAATACGTGCCACTCTCCGGTGTGGTCTGCTAGAGTGTCTCTGGGGACGCTGGGCCTCAACTGCCGGGCTGAAGTCCTGGCTCCTCTGCTGCAGGAGAGCGGAGCCTCACTCCCGCCTCTGGGCCCTGGCACGCTCATCACAGCCGTGCTGTGAGAAGTGGCCCCAAGTCCCCAATCTTGACCTGGCCGGGACACATGGCATGCGGGATTTGTCATGCTCTTATGTGATTTTTGTTTGTTTTGTTTGTTTGTGATACTGGGGTCGAACCCAGGGCTTCCCACCGAGCTACAGCCCCGGCGGCCCTTTATTTTATTTGTTCTGAGACCGGGTCTCACTAAATTGCTCAGGCTGCGCTCAAACCGGGCATCCTCCTGCCTCAGCCTCCAAGGGTGCTGTCATTGTAGCACTGTACAAGCTCATGCTGGGTTTTATTACTGAAGCAAGCCCCGAACTGAGTCTGAGGGTGCCGACCTCCCCCTAATTCTGCTGCAGCCACCCACGTGTCCCCAAATCCCATCTCCCTGTCGGGAGGAGGAGAGGCCAACACTGGGCCTGTGTTCTGGCTTGGAAGGTCACCCGGCATCACCCGGCAGGTTGGTCACGAGTCTAGGCAGTGGGGAGTGCCGTAGGCCTGACACCAGGGCCAAAGCCCAACAGTTACCTGTGGAGACTCCAAGCGCAGGGTGCCATCTGTGCACACTTACCCTGAAGAGGAGGCTCTGCGGGAACACCAAGTGCTGAATACAGGCGACCCAGATGGCCCTGCAGGGCGGGAGGTGCATAGCTCAGCCGCTGCCTGGTCTCCTTTCGTACAGTCAGTTCTTTATCATGCATCCCATCAAATATACATATTTTCTCCCACTGTGGCTCTGGCGGCAGAACCTCAAGCATGGGAGGCTGAGCTGCACCTGCAGCCCCAATTATACATATTTTAAGTGCCTTCCATTCTATAACATGTGCCTTCCGTTCTGTAATGTGCAGCCACCCAGGCCCAGGAAGAGCAACTGTACATAAGTTAGGAAATAAATGCATGCCTACCTGGGGGACAGGGGTGGCACACACCTGCAATCCCAGCATTTGGGAAGCTGAGACAGGAGGATAGTCATGAGTTCAAGACCAGCCTGGGCTACATGACAAGACCCTGTCAAGAAGGAAGGAAGGATGAAAGGGAGGGATA